CCCGCTATGTATGAGGACCGTTCGCAGTATTCTCGGTATCGGGATAATTCAGCATGACGAGGGAGTATAAACGGTTTCTATAGGTGACGACACTCCCTGAGAGAATAACTACGGAATTCCCTTTGGTTATCATCAATGCTATTCTAGCTGTCCTTAAAGAAGTCTATGAATGACTGATGAATGTTGAAAAAACAATTACTGATTTTAGCGATTACCTCTTGTTCCCCAACCGCGTTTCCTGACGATGAAGAGCTGGAAGCGGCAACTAGCCCTCATTTTGAGGACAACGGCCAAAATGTTTTGGGGTTACTCGTAGGTTAGTTTCTCGGGCAAACAAGCGTATTGAATTTATGGGGGTCTACATTGCAAAATAAATTTTATTCAGGGTTTTCTACCTCTTCCTTCATACCTACATCGAAGATACATTGAACATCCCTCGTATGAGAACCTAGGTGCAGCCATATTTGTCAAAACGACTGTGGCGTAATGCCAACGGGGGACTTATCATAAAATCGTCCAGGGCCGTGCGGAACAAAGTTTTGGCATTTCTTCATTAAGCTTTGTTTTCGCCATTTTCCTACTACACATCTCGGCCAGTAGTTTTAGCAAGTACCAAATAATCCTGCCTGTGTCTCCAGATAGAGATTGCATCACAGCTTGAAAAATCACTACTAAAACGGCTCTGAAATGAAAATGCTCATTTGATAGTTGTAGCTTGCAGCTCGGCTACGACGTGCTAATGCACACCACACAACACTACATTTCGCATCATGCATCACTTCTCGTTGTTCTTTTCAGCTGACTGGGTATTCGCATAGCGCGTGCGGATTATGGGAACAGGCAACCGGTATCCCTACCGTTCAGTCTTGCACAGGGGCACTTCTGAGCGAAGGAAGTCGCACGCTCTGCGAGTTCTCCACCTTGCCCATCTAAAGAACCATCCTCGAAGATGACACTGCAGTTTGTCACCGAGTCGAAGTAGCCACGCTTGATGCTAAATGCTCTCATATACGTTTTATTTCACTAGTTTGCCTGGTGCAAGGCCGTGCTTTGCCTTCAATATCACGCCCTCACACTTTGGGTCTCCTCGACCTGCACCCAAATTTTCTTCTGGTTGGTGTTTGGCTACTTGGAGCGTACTGGAATAAACAAACAACAAATTGAACTTCATTTATTTAACACAAAGTATATACAAGATAAATACTGACGCTGTGAATGGATGCTTATACATGCTT